TCTACATAAGTGGTGGATATTGCTAGATATTCACCGCTTATATGTAGGACTCAGTGACCAGTCAAGGCCCCGTGACCAATCACGGTCCCCGTGACCAGTCAAACAGTCACAAACCCCCCATGACCAGTCACAAATTAGTTTACCAGTCACAATGCCCCATGACCAGTCACAAATCACCATACATGTACATGTGTAAAGTACACAGTTCGTGACTGCTCGCAGGGTGCTTCGTACTGCAGGATTTGTTGTGGAAACTATAATTCCCTATGAGCGGTCACAGAATGCAGTTGTGACCACTATAATTCAATGCGAACAGTTACATGCGGAATGTACAGTTGTGACCACTCTTTCTCTGTGAGTAGTCACAGGCAGAATATAGGTATTTCTATATTACAAGAGAGATTGGAGGCTTTGTCACAACTCTGAGTTTCACGTATTACTACGATCGTCAGGCAACTGATGGCTCCTAAATGGGCAGCCTGAACATAAGAGGGAGCAAGGTGGGAAATTCTGAGGGGTATCATAGTGCAAGAGTCAGGTGCAGGCGTGAAGTTGCCAAGTCTTCAGACTTGGGGCTATGCAGCAGCAGTTCCAGCGTGAATGACATAGTATAGAGCTGGGGACCACACATGCCCACACCATTACACACACATACACCCACACTCTCTCCCTTTTTCTCACATACACCCACACGCGCACACACACACTCATTCTCTAAATCTCTCTCTCACACATACGCACATATGTCATTCATTCTCTACATCACACACACACACACACCTGGCCTGGTGTACAGCTGCCAAATGCTTAGCCACGCCGCCCCCGAGACAGGGGGAGAGTAGAAGAGAGAGTTTGAGACACACACACACACATCCACACACACACACACACACACCTGGCCTGGTGTACAGCTGCCAAATGCTTGGCCACGCCGCCCCCGAGACAGGGGGGAGTAGAAGAGAGAGTTTGAGACACACACACACACATCCACACACACACACACACACACACACACACACACACACACACACACACACATCCACACACACACACACACACACACACATCCACACACACACACATCCACGCACGCACACACAAACACATTCTCTAAACCTCTCACACACACACACTCTCTCTTTCTCACGCATGCACACACACACACACACTCACACATGCGCGCGCACACTTACTCTCACACACACACACACACACACACACACACACACACACACACACACACACAAATAGGCAGAGGGACTACCAGCTAGATTCACTTGACCTTGCGGACAACGTTACGGAGGTAGAACTTGTTTTCACGACGACACTTGGACACAAGTACTTCTGTATTATTATTTTATCTCTTTTCAACCAATCCACAAGCCAAGAAGAGATGCGTAGACGGAAGAACCGTACTCTTGGTGATACTGATCGCAAACATGATTAATTCCTCCAGGCCATTGAGCACCCAATTCTAAACCTTATCTAAGCAAAGCAGCATGCCAGTTCAAGAACATCTCGTCAGACATACATATCGATACATGTCTGGTGCACTCTCACTAACAAGCAGGCATCGCAGGCTACATTCGCACCAGCAATCAAAAGAAGTTGAAGTGAGTGAATATTTCTATAAAATTAATAATTGGAAGACAAATGAAGGTGTGGAGGACCGCCCGAAAACACTGACAAGGAGACAGTAAACGGTACACAGTACTCGTATGCATGTACTTATACACGTTATCAGCACAACGAGAAAGACCATGATGCATAATGTTGCATCAATAAATTTTACAGAGTTATTTTGGGAGTAGAAATGAAGATGTGTTCGAACTTCGAAGCAGTAAACTGCGTAAGCACTACGTTGAGCCAGAATATTGAAATACAGTTTCCTGCAGTCAAAACAAGACACTCACACTTCTCTGGTCTAGTTCGCCATTCTTATCGATAAACATGACTTGATTTAATTTCTTACGATGGTCCTTGAGAATGGATCAATGATGTCTTGAATAGATGTCTTCCTGAACGACTTCAACTGAGAGGCAGTTTCAGTTTCAACAAGCTGGACATTGTTTTTCTGTGGAGTCTTCCACAAGAAAGACAGAGCCACACACACGAAGGTGCTTGATGTACTCAGTACCTTCTTGGAAATGAACATATTTTCATTTCCATCTTCATTATATTTTCGTCTCTGCATCGTCGACGATGTCCACTTCTGACTCCGTAATCTTGTCACCCATCCTCTCCAAAAACACAAATCGAGTGCTGCTTGCATGCTGGATCAGTTGAAGTCAGTCTTTGCTCTAGCAAGATCGGCATGCAAATATTACATGACTGAAAATATTCCGAAATAGCTTTTCTGAACGACGAAGTTTGTTCTTCAAATATGATGAATAGCACAACCTACTAGCCAGAACGTCCTCTCAAAAGAGATTCTATCTGAAGCCTGCAAGATTTTCGACCACCCTTCGTTTTGGAGAGGAGCCCACACACACCAGACTCGAGCTACAAGTAAACTACGCGGAGATCGAGAGCTGATCGAAATCTTTCTTGCTCACTTCTGAAACCTGTGAAGGAAAAAAGTATGCTGAACGCGTGAATGCCTACAGTTGAGTCGTAATATTTTGACGTGGATCCTGTGACCGTTCACAGAGAAAGTCGCGGCTGTTTCTGACTGGTCATCGGGATTCAAACTGGTGTGTGATTTTATGACTGCTCTTCGGGGATTTGTGACTGTTTGATTGGTCACGGGGATCGTGATCGGTCATCGAGACGTGACTGCTCACTGAGTCCTACATATATTCACCACTTTTCGATACGTACTGTAAAGAGAGCAGTACTCGGTGCTGAGCTTAATTTCTTTTCCCTCAGTATACAAGAGCTGGCGAGTGTCGTAGAAAGGTTCTACGCTAACTTCCGTAAACAGGACTTTTCTGAGTACAAACGAAATTCCTTGCTTGCCACTTGGCGCTGAATCCACATGTGACCATGTGCTGACAAGTTACTAGTATCAGCCAACAGTGAGCATCTTCACAGACGGAGCGTTCAAGCAAGCAAACAAGGTTTCGGACGCTCGATATGTCGATGGATTTCGTATCGAGCGGCAAACAAGGACTTTCGTTAGTACTCACGAATATCATGTTTATGGACGTTGGCGTAGAACCTTTCTAGGGCATACAACAGCTCCGGAGCGTTGCCTGAAAAGAAAACAAGGGAGGGCAGAATCGCTTGGTTCGCTGTCTATGAACCGACTCCCGAATTGGCGTGATGCTCACGGATTCGTCAAATCTTCGCATCGAAACGGACGACGATTGGCTCTCGTAAAGCACAAGCGTGTTCTCCAAGGTGATTGGCTCGAGCATGTCCTCCAAGGTGATTGGCTTGAGCGTATTCTCCAAGGTGAATGGCTCAAGCGTGTTCTCCAAGGTGATTGGCTCGAGCGTGTTCTCCAAGGTGATTGGCTCGAGCATGTTCTCCAAGGTGATTGGCTCGAGCGTGTTCTCCAAGGTGATTGGCTCGAGCGTGTTCTCCAAGGTGATTGGCTCGAGCGTGTTCTCCAAGGTGATTGGCTCGAGCATGTTCTCCAAGGTGATTGGCTCGAGCGTGTTCTCCAAGGTGATTGGCTCGAGCGTGTTCTCCAAGGTCGTCGCCTCTCGTGCCACATGCACCAGTCCGTGTACACGATCGACTCTAAAAAAAGTTGAATAATACTCTGTCAGGAACACGTCACTCTCCGATTCATGCAAGAACATGCCAGTCGGTAGTGAAGTAACAACGACTTACGTTCGTTCTGCGTACATGTACATGTATGATCAACGTGACTCGTTTGTTGGGCTGTAGGGATGATAGGGTGAATATGTAGAGGCATAAGTCTATTAAACAAACGGCGAGGAGACAATAATTTGATAACCGCAATCAATAAGACAAGCTGAATCAACATTGGTGTACACTTTATTCATACAATTTGAAAAAGCGGAGACAATGTACAATAAAACGATGAAAATATGAAGAAATTGTGTAGAGAAAACAAGGATTCAAACAAGTTTTCGTGAAACACTCATCAGGAATCGTCGTTGTACTAAAGGACACTGAAACAAAATGGAGCTATCATAGAAAATCTAAATCGTCGTTGTACTAAAGGACACTGAAACAAAAAGGAGCTATCATAGAAAATCTAAGTTAGAGAAATAACACTAAGAACAGCAGCAGTGAAATTTACAAGTGTGAATTTTAACAATGAAAGCGAGAGCAAAAACAAGCAAGAGCAAAACTGTATCATCTTGTCTTGAAATGTGCTGGAAAAAAGAAAAGCATTGCAAGCACCGTGAATGCTAATTCCGAGCCAGGTACCTAGGTGTAGAAGTATTGAAGCAATCTCGTTATTGTCAGATGTGAAAACTGTGCAAACATTCATAGCAAAGTCAACCAGAGTGTTCTGGCAGCATGCATTATGAGGCGAATGCACTACTTAAAAACTTGATGTCGATAAGGACATGTTTAACCGATAAAACAAGTCAAGAATAGTATAAGTGAGGCAGAGGTTACGAAACAAAAAGAAGAGAAGAATATAATGAATCTAAATGCAAAATTTCCTAATCAATTTTCATGACACACTCATCAGGGAAAGCTATTATCTCCTCGTCGCTTATTTAATAAAATTGACGAGCTGGCAGAGCTTCTAAGGGTATTTGATCATTTGACGTAACAGGCACTTTGTCTGCAGAACATTTATACTGCCTTTGCTGATTTGGTAGAAACAGTACCGGATCAGATTGTACATTGGCCTCAACAATATTATGATCACGTTCTTTTCTGCTTTTCAGAGACGTTCTTGGATAACCCATTCAAGCATGCCACCTTTATTGATGATATCCACATCTGGCTGCAATCACTAGGTGCTGCTGGCCTACGTAGCAAAGCACAGGGATACGGCTTCTTTACGGATTTTCCTCAGATGAAAAGGCTTATGATCACTGAGAAGTACGATGGTAACGAAGCCCACAACTGTGAGCTGCTGGATATCATCATGGCACAGGAACGTGTTGGCTACATCAAGCTGTGCAAGATCGTCAAGGGTTATGGACAGTACACAACACGGCTTCAGCAGATGAACAGTTTGCTGACGGAGAGTGATCGAGTCTAATCAGGTCAGTGATCAGCACACTCCTATCTGATTACATCACCACTGCCGGTTGCCATGACAACTGCTTGAAAATTGTTTGGCCGCAGTGATAGCTTCCGCCTGATTGATGTAACACCTATGTGCAGATCGACTGCACCTCACTTCCTAAGTCACAACGACTTGCACCAGTCTTTTCGGCTAGTTTCCTGAAAGTCCTTTGCACGAGCGTTTCCCTCAGGACTTGGTGTTTATTTTGATTATCCCCTTTGCCCAGTCCTCTGTGAGCTTCAAAGTGTGTCCGCTGGATTGGTCTCATGTTCTGGAGATGTCGACATGAGCTGCAGTTTCTTCGTCAGCGATTTGCTGGTGATAACTCTTCACTAGGCGCTGTACTGTGCGAGAAATGAAATTCAAGCTTGCGAAGCACTTTTCCAGCTTTTCTATAACTCCCCGCGGTCAACCATTCTCGCACCAGACAGCTGGAAGTAAGCAGAAACTGTATTCTCCTTCGCTCTGAAATGCGAACATCCCGACCTTTTTTACGGACTGGAACAGAGTTTGCAGTGTTCGTTGGCGCCAGCTCCAGTGAAAAAGACTCAAACGAACCGATCGCAACTTCTGTGATGATTTGTGCTGCCATGTCGTCGGAAGCAATGCTCAATGGTTATGTTAGGATGGTGAATGGGTGCTTCCATGCCATATAACACGGGCAGAACACCGAAAAATCATCATATTAAGTGCGAAGATATGCGCCAATTTTAACTAGACGGACCAAGTATGCACTGAAGTGTGTTTAGTGCATGTGCGCGCGTGCGTGCGTGCGTGGTGTGGGTTATGTATGTGTGTGTATGAGTGTGTATGTGTGGGTGTGTATGTACGTGTGCGTGTGTGTGCATGTGTGTGTGCACGTGTGTGCGCGTGTGTTTTGTTTTTATTGTCCTTGTCGTTGGTGTTGGTGATTGTGTCACTGCCACCATCACCAACCGTTTACTGAAGTACACCTCATATTCGGGAGCAGTGTGGCCATTTCTGGCGGCTGTGAATAAATATAGTAGTGTGTGTGTGTGTGTGTGTGTGTGTGTGTGTGTGTGTGTGTGTGCGTGTGTGTGTGTGTGTGTGTTTGTGTGTGTAAGTATTTGGAAGTTGGACTAGTTTCGGCTCCACAATCCAGTGTGTCCTTACTATAATATCTTTCATGGCTGAGGTTGTTGGTATGTCTGTTGGCTCTGGGTTCCCAGTACTCAGCAGCCGAGGCTGGTTGGTAAAGTAACTCCAATTTCACTTCAAGGTACCAGTGCATCTAGTGTCTGCTTCTATCAAAGTAGCGTGCTGTATATACTGGTTACCCCAGCAAGTGTAGGGTGTGCATAGGTAACTGTCTTTGTCGTTTTATGCCGATGTACTCTGTGTGGTTTAGACCAGGTGTGTATTGGTGGTCAATTCACATGGCTTCGCCAGTTTTGTGGATTAGACAGTTATCTGGCGCAAGTCTTGATCTGTCTCATTCAGATCTTGTTCGCTATCGTTGCTATAAGAGAAAATCTGTGGGTGCACATCCAGTACATTTGCAGATTTTCGTGCTTCTCTTCTGATGGGCGTATACATGGTACATGGTACATGGTGTGTGTGCGTGCGCGTGTGCGTGTGTGTGTGTATAAATGGTGTGTACATGTATTTGTGTACACGTGTGTATAAATGATGTGTACATGTATTTGTGTACACGTGTGTATAAATGGTGTATACATGTATTTGTGTACACGTGTGTATAAATGATGTGTACATCATGTATTTGTGTACGTGTGTGTGTATAAATGATGTGTACATCATGTATTTGTGTACGTGTGTGTGTATAAATGATGTGTACATCATGTATTTGTGTACGTGTGTGTGTATAAATGATGTGTACATCATGTATTTGTGTACGTGTGTGTGTATAAATGATGTGTACATCATGTATTTGTGTACGTGTGTGTGTATAAATGATGTGTACATCATGTATTTGTGTACGTGTGTGTGTATAAATGATGTGTACATCATGTATTTGTGTACGTGTGTGTGTATAAATGATGTGTACATCATGTATTTGTGTACGTGTGTGTGTATAAATGATGTGTACATCATGTATTTGTGTGTGTGTGTGTATAAATGGTGTGTACATGTATGTATTTGTGTACGTGTGTGTGTATAAATGATGTGTACATCATGTATTTGTGTACGTGTGTGTGTATAAATGATGTGTACATCATGTATTTGTGTACGTGTGTGTGTATAAATGATGTGTACATCATGTATTTGTGTACGTGTGTGTGTATAAATGATGTGTACATCATGTATTTGTGTACGTGTGTGTGTATAAATGATGTGTACATCATGTATTTGTGTACGTGTGTGTGTATAAATGATGTGTACATCATGTATTTGTGTACGTGTGTGTGTATAAATGATGTGTACATCATGTATTTGTGTACGTGTGTGTGTATAAATGGTGTGTACATCATGTATTTGTGTACGTGTGTGTGTATAAATGATGTGTACATCATGTATTTGTGTACGTGTGTGTGTATAAATGATGTGTACATCATGTATTTGTGTACATGTGTGTGTATAAATGATGTGTACATCATGTATTTGTGTACGTGTGTGTGTATAAATGATGTGTACATCATGTATTTGTGTACGTGTGTGTGTATAAATGATGTGTACATCATGTATTTGTGTACGTGTGTGTGTATAAATGGTGTGTACATCATGTATTTGTGTACGTGTGTGTGTATAAATGATGTGTACATCATGTATTTGTGTACGTGTGTGTGTATAAATGATGTGTACATCATGTATTTGTGTACGTGTGTGTGTATAAATGATGTGTACATCATGTATTTGTGTACGTGTGTGTGTATAAATGATGTGTACATGTATGTATTTGTGTACGTGTGTGTGTATAAATGATGTGTACATCATGTATTTGTGTGTGTGTGTGTATAAATGATGTGTACATCATGTATTTGTGTGTGTGTGTGTGTGTATAAATGATGTGTACATCATGTATTTGTGTACGTGTGTGTGTATAAATGATGTGTACATCATGTATTTGTGTACGTGTGTGTGTATAAATGATGTGTACATCATGTATTTGTGTATGTGTGTGTGTATAAATGATGTGTACATCATGTATTTGTGTGTGTGTGTGTATAAATGATGTGTACATCATGTATTTGTGTGTGTGTGTGTGTGTATAAATGATGTGTACATCATGTATTTGTGTACGTGTGTGTGTATAAATGATGTGTACATCATGTATTTGTGTACCCGTGTGTATAAATGATGTGTACATCATGTATTTGTTTGTTTGTCACATACAGGTTACAGGTGACTACACTCTCTAACCAGGTCATCGTTGTCATGGTCACTGAGGCCAGAGTCGGAACAGTGTCTGATGTTTTCCATTATCAATCAGTAGTCATGCTGGCTAGAAATTTGCCATTGTGGCAATTTGTTGTTTACTACTTCACTTGCATATTCCATGCATGTATGTATACCAATCCTTCACTTGTTTGCCTCAGTATTGAAGAGCACTATGGATTTGTGGTTGTGTTCACTACGGCCTTCACTCGTCTTTTTTTAGTTTTTTTAATGAATGTGTGTGTGTGTATGTGTGTGTGTGTGTGTATTCGTATGTGCATGTGCACTTCTTGCCGCCTTCGGGATTTGCCTAGCTATTTTTGTAGCACAAAGTGCTTGTGTGTAATGCCATTTCGCTTGCTCTTCTTCGTCATCAATGATGTCCATGTGTGTGTTTTCCCTGAAGTTCCCGTTTGGCTTGCTTTTAGTACTACAACGTAACAGAATACACTGTCATGGTTGTTTGCATGTTGCACAGTTCGACTTGTTTTTATCCATCATTTCTGATCACAACATGCTTTGTGCATTTCACTGCAGCTTCACTTGCTAGTCTTCATCATTACATCATGGAAATGTATGTGTGCGTGTGTGCATTGCGATGTCACTTGTTTTTTTACTTTAATTTTTTACAACCCACAGTTTCCCTCTTTTTTACCCATCATTCCAGACCCCAGTGAGCTTTTTGTCATTGTTATTCCCTTGCCAGCCTACATCACTACCGACCTGCAATATGATTGCGTGGGTGTGTGTGCAGTGATGTTTTCATTTGTTTTCTGTGACAGCTACAGAACATGATGTGTGTTTGTGTACACTGCTGTTTCGCTTGTATCATTTCTTTAATATCACTACAGCACAGAATAGGTGTGTGGGTGGGTGTGTGGACCGATCATGCACTTCATTACTTTTATCCATGATGTGAGATCACAGTGTGGTCTTTGGGCAGCTCATCACTGTTTTCGTTGCTTTTCACTGACAGCTGTTTTCGTTGCTTTTTCTCTGCCAGCTGTTTTCGTTGCTTTTTCATTGCCAGCTGTTTTCGTTGCTTTTCAGTGCCAGCTGTTTTCGTTGCCGTTTTTTGTTGCTTTTCGCTTCTAGTATTCTACATGGTGGAGTCGGCAATGTATTTTTCATGCTCTGCTGTTTTCTGACTTTGTTTTCTGTATCAGTATGGAACACACTTTGTCGGAACTGCACTTTGCTTTGTATGCCTTCTTTTTTAATTACAGCACAGAATGTGTGTGTGTGTGTCTGCACTGATCTTGCACTTGTTTTCCTTATCATTGCACAACATGATGCGTTTACACTTTACCAAGGTTTACACCATGTACCACTGCTGTAATTGCCTTGCCGGATCATTACGTCATTACGTCATTACGTCATTACGGTACACAGCTTGTTAGTGTACTGTGCACTGTACTTTCGCTATTTTCATCATCATTATTCGGAAGTCTTGTTTTTGTTATCCATACGGAGACCCGACCTTCACAGTGTGCCAGTGTGCTGTGTGCTGTGTGCTGCTCAATGTGTTGTGCTGGATGCAATGTATGAGTGTAGTGAAGTATGTTACTGAGCTGTTTTCACCTGTGTGTGCACTGGTGGTGACTATAGTTCAGCTAATTCTTATGTAAATCCCCTTTTCCATCGCTCTCAAATACAGCAGAGATATGCTGAAGGCTGACATTTGATGATGACAAAATTGGTCAGTGGAGAAACGACGTGGGGACAGAGAGATGGCTGACTATGTACTTCATGATAACAGCAATCAGAAATAGAGCTTAATTGTTTAAAGATGACTGCATGTGTGAGAGAGTAGTTATGTATCTAAGTGCCTGTTTTCCTGGTAACTAATCTCAGGTAACAAGGACTTATCTTTAAGGCCGTACTAACTATATGATGATTGTATTACATGTGTACTTAGGTGTTGCACTGCACCATGCATTTTACACACTACACAGTACAGTACATGTGTACTTAGGTGTTGCACTGCACCATGCATTTTACACACTACACAGTACAGTACATGTGTACTTAGGTGTTGCACTGCACCATGCATTTTACATACTACACAGTACAGTACATGTGTACTTAGGTGTTGCACTGCACCATGCATTTTACATACTACACAGTACAGTACATGTGTACTTAGGTGTTGCACTGCACCATGCATTTTACACACTACACACTACAGTACATGTGTACTTAGGTGTTGCACTGCACCATGCATTTTACATACTACACAGTACAGTACATGTGTACTTAGGTGTTGCACTGCACCATGCATTTTACACACTACACAGTACAGTACATGTGTACTTAGGTGTTGCACTGCACCATGCATTTTACACACTACACAGTACAGTACATGTGTACTTAGGTGTTGCACTGCACCATGCATTTTACATACTACACAGTACAGTACATGTGTACTTAGGTGTTGCACTGCACCATGCATTTTACACACTACACAGTAGAGTACATGTGTACTTAGGTGTTGCACTGCACCATGCATTTTACACACTACACAGTAGAGTACATGTGTACTTAGGTGTTGCACTGCACCATGCATTTTACACACTACACAGTACAGTACATGTGTACTTAGGTGTTGCACTGCACCATGCATTTTACACACTACACAGTACAGTACATGTGTACTTAGGTGTTGCACTGCACCATGCATTTTACATACTACACAGTACAGTACATGTGTACTTAGGTGTTGCACTGCACCATGCATTTTACACACTACACAGTACAGTACATGTGTACTTAGGTGTTGCACTGCACCATGCATTTTACACACTACACACTACAGTACATGTGTACTTAGGTGTTGCACTGCACCATGCATTTTACACACTACACAGTACAGTACATGTGTACTTAGGTGTTGCACTGCACCATGCATTTTACACACTACACAGTACAGTACATGTGTACTTAGGTGTTGCACTGCACCATACATTTTACACACTACACAGTACAGTTTGGCACAGAAATAACTACTTGCCGTCATTCCATATTATACAATACAATACATGATGACTGAATAGTCGTGGCCAAAGAAATCCAATTGGCCAACCCACGTGCCGACAGCAGTGCCAAATCTCATGCGGCCGCTGCGGCCCTCAGATCAGTTTTAGGAACGTGCATGAAGTCACTGGAGAGCAAACGCGGCGCTACTTTTGACTTGCGGGTGTGATTTCTTTGGCCACGACTGAAGTACATGGTACACTGGTGCATAGACCGATTCCGACAATGTAGGAAAGGAAGTGGCTTTCTTTTACATCACACCAAACCCTAGCAATGATGTATTAAAGATTTCAAAGGTTAGCACGAGAGAGAGTGCCGGGAAATAGCTTATGGGACGGGTCCAGATAAGTTGGCTGTTCCCGTAGGGTGGAGACCAAGAGAGTAGCCAACAGATCGTCTCTATGTATGACTGAATGACACGATGTGTGTGACTAGGACCAGTTCCAGTACAGTAGGGTGCGCAACAGCAAGGAGCAGCACACTTGCACTGACACTCGCTGGTGCAATGATGAGAGATTCTTAGATTCAATTTATTGCATTCCCAACTCATCACAACCACCCGCTCTCAGCCGAACCATACACACCAGCAAGGACACTTCCGTTGAGAGATAATATTGTTCCACGCCTCTAGACTGCTGTTTCGCTCCCTGTTGGAGCTCATCAGTAGAGGATGATAGTGATGATAATGGAGGAATGATCATTCTTATACACCAGAAATGGCGCAAGTGCGCGTTTTCCACATAATTATAACAATGACATATAGTGATTGCCAACCACGTCGATAAATAAAAGCCAGGGTAGGGAAAAAGAAAGAGTAGCAAAATGAACAGCAACAACAACTCCGTAAAGAAAGATAATGTCAAATAAAAACAGTGAAAACACAGAGACGCAAAGGACATGTGGATAATGAGCTACTTATGTCGCAGTTAATAAGGGGCGGCACGGATCTTAAGCAGGCGGAGTGAAGTCAGATCCTTAAAGGGGAAGTATACCCTAAAATCAAGTTTTCACCAGTTGTAGTCTTCTGGGTGCTGAGTCGAATGGTCTTGGTCCGAGGAAGCTGCGACGCTCCCTTCCTACTTGAATCCCAATCGAACTCGCGCACTTCCACCGAAACTGGGTGACTGCGCCCTACTAGATGGGGATTTGTATGCAAAATGTCACTAAAAGCGCCATTTCGTTCTTATAAAAGCACAGATGACCGCGATTGGCCCATATGTTGTAGTCTTTTGGACGCTGAGTCGACTGGTTTTGGTCCGAAAAGGCTGCGATGCAGCGTTCCTCCTTTATTCCCAATCGAACATGGTTGAACAAGCGGTCACGTGCTCCTGGGTGCCCAAATCACCTGGTCACCGCGCCAGCAGGCGACAACTTTCACACCAAGGTTCAACTCGAGTTCAACTCGAGTGACGGGACTGCACCCAAAAAAGGTCAAACAGGCTAGTATGTTGTACCCTGCAGGCACGGTGACCAGGTGACTGGTGTACGCAGGAGCACGTGACCGCTTGTTCAACCATGTTCGATTGGGAATAAAGGAGGAACGCTGCATCGCAGCCTTTTCGGACCAAAACCAGTCGACTCAGCGTCCAAAAGACTACAACATATGGGCCAATCGCGGTCATCCGTGCTTTTATAAGAACGAAATGGCGCTTTTAGTGACATTTTGCATACAAATCCCCATCTAGTAGGGCGCAGTCACCCAGTTTCGGTGGAAGTGCGCGAGTTCGATTGGGATTCAAGTAGGAAGGGAGCGTCTCAGCTTCCTCGGACCAAGACCATTCGACTCAGCACCCCGAAGACTACAACTGGTGAAAATTTGATTTTAGGGTATACTTCCCCTTTAACTTATGTGGGTAGAGTGAGCCAAACAGAATAAGCAATAAAGAGAAGGGAGCGCAACAGTGTGGATGATTTACACTTAGGGAGTAAGAGCGAGTTTCTAGTTCTTAGAGAAGAGAACCAATTTAAACACATGAGATGAGGTGGGCACAACTCAAGCTTAATAGAATGAACAAAAAAAAGCCAGGTGTGCACTGCGTCCATATTATGACCACAATGTATATTGATGTGCTATCATTATCAAAATAGGAAAAATTAAGATATTTCTCCTACACCCTAACAAAACGTCTGCTACAGGCCATCACAGAGTATACAGTACTGAAAGACGGAGACAGAAAAAAAGTGCCGGCACCGCATCGTCATAGCAATAGACATGGACACCACAATAAAACACAGCAGAATCATATTTTTAGTTGAAAATTAAGAGTACATGTACTACCACGAAGAGTTTTTTCATGTTTACATGTGTATCAGGAAGTTGTCAAATACAGTACTGCAAGTATTTGACGACTCCCTGGTGTGTAATTCTGAGGACAATTTTTCTTCTTTTTTTCAGCTCCAGATAGCTGTATTTTTCATTGCAAATTCCTGAATTGTTGTATTTGTTGTTCAAGCAAAGGTGAAGGCAGAGGACTCAGGACAGATGAGCCTGGTAAGAGTTTTGCGTGGCACAGGAAGACCACACACAGGCAGTGACTTTGCGAAGATCTGAAACTGACCGCACGATGCTGAGTTGAACTGGTGTTATTCCCGTTGCTGAGTTGAACTGGTGTTATTCCCGTAGCTATGCAGAACATGTTCACTGTACTTCAGTAAAATAATCCTACACAGTTGCGAGGGCATGACGCTCTGATCAGGCACGTGGTCTGCGAGTGATCTTGCCCGAGGTCGCGACGCCCAGGGGCATAAGCTGTGTTCACAACTGGCGCGTGGACGCGGTACGCTTGCGGTTCATTTCTTGTCCAAACGCGCGCTCAGCCTTTCACAAAAAACACCAACCGAGTCGTATCTAGCGCGTGCGACACCTTCGAGTGAAAGTGACTGGCATGTGCGCTGGTACGCGCCTGATACGCGCTGAAACTTCCAACATGTTGGAATTTCCATTTTTTTAAGGTAGGCCCGCACCGTTTTTTTGTGTGTGTGTGTAGACATGGCATTTTACAGTTCACGCGCTAGATCCAACGGTACTCGTACCCCAAACCCAAAATACCGTCGTCGGTTTGGTACCGTTTCGCGCTATTTCTCGAAAACACATCAAAAACAGTAGACTCGCCCTCTACACGCCGACCGTCGAAATAGCGTGAACGGTAAAATGCTAACCATGTCTATTATAATCACTTAGCACGTAAGGCCGCGGTCACACATGAGAAGTGTCCACCGCTTTTGTGGCGGCGAAAAGTGTAAGTAATTAGCTCAGCTGCCGCTTTTGCGGAACGCATGATGCAGCGGTCACACATGCGGTTATCCTCTCAAGACTCGCCAAAGCCGTGGCTCGTCGCCCGCTTCGCCACGGGATACCTGTGAAGAATAAAACCATGCAAATTTGCAGTATCATTAATTTTTGTGGCCAGACCTCTGCGCTAGCCTCTCTACTCGGGTGAAACGAT